CTTTTGAAGCTTTTAAAGCGGGGAGCTGGGGACGAGCGAGAAGCTTCCGATCTTGTTCCCAGGGATTTTCCTTTAGAAATAAGAAAAACGCTGGGGACGAGGTTGGAGAAGCCAAAGTGGGGGATGATGGGAACGTGTGCAGAGCGCGAGGGGGAGAGATGGGAAATGGTGGAGGTCGTGGAGTGGTTCCTTTTTTCCCTTTCCCAACACTCCCTTCGCTCCCACTTTCAATAATTAAACAAGGAAAAAGTGTCTGTTGTCCGCATTAAAATGCACTGAAAATGAAAGGCTTTACCCAGGCAAAAAACGGAATAGCGAGCTGTGGCCGCATAAAAGTGGTTGTCCGTAAATCAGGCGACTGATGAATATTGTAATAATTTTATGCATTTTTCTTATATGTTTATCTTTTAGGATATGGAGATTTGTATCCTGTGACACTCCTTGGTAAAGTCCTATGCGTTGTGTACGCATTTTTTGGCATTCCAATAACAATCCTTTTCCTCAGGCTTATAGGTCAATACATCTTTCGAGGGCAGAGATGGCTCGTCACAGCCATCGAGACAAGGTGCATGAGGAAATACGATCCTCCTAACCGCTTAAACGGAAAATGCTTCGTCCTTGGATTTATTTATTTGCTTTTACTGCTACTTGCCGGAGCTGGTGTACAGATGTGGGTCGAAGCCGACTGGAGTTATGAAGGAAGCATCTATTTCTACGCTATCTCCTTCACTACCGTTGGCTTTGGAGACATGCTACCAAGTAACAAGTACATAGTGGTTGCTTTCATCTTTCTGCAGCTGACCGCCGTCTCAAGTATGTTGCATGCAGCCGCATCGATGACACTGGTCAGGCGTGTTACGGCTAGGGTTGATAATGATGACGAAAGAGATATCCACGCAAACGGAAAAGATGTCCAGGCAACGTTTAAAGCAGCAGATTCAAAATAAGTAGCCCCGCCAAATCTTCTCAAACAGTTACCGCAAATCCTCTGTTAATATAAGCCCCGTCTCTAGAATAAGTCCTTCCTTTTCCGGGGAAAAAAGTTGATAAGCCCCTCCTCTTTTTTTAGCCTCCCTCCTCTCCTTCTTATTCACTAATAAAATAATGATAGATTGTATTGATTAATCACGACTGTAAAACTTCCTGTAGACTGATCCAGGATGGTTTATTCACCAACTGGAAGTTCGGATTTATTTTTGATCCTCGGCTGCATGAGCTCCAATTTCTTGTACTTGAGCTTTTCCACTTTGCATTCTAGGTTTTTATGGTGAACTGACACCATAATCCGTGCTAAATTAAAAAAGCTTTCCCCCCCTCAAATAAGCCTCCCGTCTCTATTAATCCCCCCTTAAATGTGTTTGAAATAAATAAGCCCCCCGGGAGGCTTAATAGAGGAAGTTACAGTAAGCTAAGTATGTATAGAAAAGTACTATAAAACTGTTGTAGCTAAAAATCATAGCCGTTTCTTTTAGTTTCTTTTTTGAAATTGTAAATTATCTTCCCCGTTGTTTTTCTGCCATAATTAGGATCCTTTATCTCATCCCAGCTCGATTAGCGTAGTAGCTATTTCCGGCATCAGGTGCATTGTGCCATGGTACTAAATGTGTATAATTGCGCAAAACAATAAAATCGACAGTTTAAAAGTAGTCGTTGTTGTTATCTTAGTTCCTCGGGTCCTGCCTCTCTACAGCTCCCTTCCCGGTTCTCTGTTCGCTCTCTCGAGTGCTGACTGGCTGAAAAGATACCGCTTGCAGTCTAAAAAGAAAAAACACTGTTTGAGCTCCAGTCCCCTTCTTCAATTTCCAAAACATGTCAAAAACCCAAACATTACACGTATCAGGCCAAGGACTTGTTAAATAAAGTTCGAAAAAGTACTGTTTTAGAGACCCTCGCGAGCAATTGACGTTTCGGACAATCCTGGCCAAAAGTGTTTGAGACACTTCTCTTATATCTGCCCCTCCCCTTTTTGGTAGGAAGTTGGAGAGTGACCTTCAATTTACAGTTTGAAATACGGCTGTGCCTAGGTTTAGGGGGGGGGGGAAGGGGGTTATTGGAAAATGCACAGATCATGTGTAATGACTAAGTGTCCCAAACGTTTTGACCAGGATGTAGTATTGTTTTCTCCATAAACCATCATTGGCCAAACCCTTTTTTTTAACCACAATTATTTCACTCCACTGACTTTACTTTTGTTTGTTAGGGCATTTTTTGTGCCACCAAACCATCTCGCCACCCAAGAGATACATACCGTAATACTTATCGAAAGGGACAACTCTCTGAAAGAGAATTCCCTCACTTTAAATTTACAATGAAATGTAAGGAGCTAGGGTCAAGTGACAATACTACCCTACTTTGATAAGAAAGACTGTTATCAGGAGCCCATAACCGGTTATGGGCTCCTGCTGTTATCTTTAAAACAAATTGCACCTCTCGAGTGATATAAATAAGCCGTATTAAGGTAATACTGAAGTTGCAATTATTCACAAAAATTGAAACTAAACATGAGACGTTCGACGCAATGTGTCAATTACTATCGAAAAACTTGTATTTGAGCTTGAGGAAGAAGTAACAAAATAAGCGGCAGTGAAAAAACACACAGACAGTAACACATACGACATTTCCTCCATAAAACATGTAACTGTAAGTGTCACGTTGTAGTCTTGTAAAACAATGGCAAAGAAATGTACAAAAGAGTGTGCTCCACGCAAAAAAGTTGTTTTGTTTTTACTAATTAGACCTATTGATTTTTTGCCGTTCTCCTTGCTGTCGCCCTTTAGCATTACACGATTTTATACTTTGTTTGAGTGAACTATAAGTATATTAACGAGAGCTTGGCCTTTGGCCCTAACGAGTGATTTTTTTGCCTGGTTGTCCTGTGCGTTTTCCGCGCCCATCGGTTTTTTGTGTCAGCGGTTTTTTTGCACACTCTCTCTCTCTTTTTGTCGCCATCTTTGCTGGTGAGTGTTCTGATGTTCTTCAAAAATCCACTTCCATCGGCTCGAGAATAAAGCTTCTTTACAAACCTACGGGCTTTAAGGGAGAAGCAAGTTTTCAAGTATTCATAAGTGCTAAAATAAAAAGAAAAACTGTCTGCATTGGACGATTTATACCAAAGTCGAACATTTTGTCCCTGCAGCCCATCTTATATTGGTGTATTTTCTTGTAACTGATCTGATTACTTTCAAAACGAATTTATTACAGATTCCTCCATAGACATGGGGAAATTCATCAAGTCTGGCAAGGTTGTGTTGGTTTTAAGCGGGCGTTATGCAGGCAAAAAAGCAGTGATAGTGAAGAATTACGACGATGGTACCGCAGACAAGCCATTCGGTCATGCTCTTGTCGCTGGAATTTCTCGCTATCCACTTAAAGTGACGAAGAAAATGGGCAAGAAGAAGACGGCCAAAAGATCCAGAATAAAGCCCTTCGTTAAAGTGTACAACTACAATCATCTCATGCCCACCAGGTATTTTTCGTACTTCATTTTTAAAGCAAGTTGTTACGGTCGATGTTTCACAAGACGAGAAATAATTCTACACTTTCTCCTTCTCCTAACAGTAACAAGTATTGATTTCCTTTGTGTTTTATTCAAGCCTAATTTGCAGCTGATGTTAAACAGAAAGTGTTGTGCAGCAACATTATTGCATAAAAGTTCAGACAAAACCCATGGCTTCATGGGTGTTTTCTGTACTTTTGAGTTTGTAGATACATGTGCTCTGCAAGCAGAGACCACTTAGCATTACTTAGTAGGATGTGGAAAGTAGCCTCTACTCGTAACTCGCTAGTCCACAAATGTAGTCAAATAAATTAAAAACAACTGGTTTCTATCTAGTCCTAGACCTAGACTGGTCTGGGAGTTGTATCAGCTCAATGTCTTGTTCCACCTGTACTATTGCCCAGTGCACAGACTTAAGGGACGTAGAGATACAAACATTTTTAGTGACCTATCACAAATAAAATGTGGCTGTATCCCGTTGTTTTTCATCCTTAAAAGACAGCGTTATTTTATTGATATCCTGTGGCGCTATACGTTTCAAGCAGCTGAAAAGCTTTTCCATTTTCTGAGACACTCATTCATGTCAGAAGAAATTGATCTATCACACTGAGAAGATGCATAAAGGAAAACTTAGTATTATTTGTCATAGTGAAACTTGTGTATGTGTTATAGCAAACAGGACCATTGTTGGCAGAGGCTACTTTTTGCAAGACAGTATAAAATACAAAAACATGGACTCTTCTTATAGAGTGCATAGCAGACAACATTCTTAGTGTTTTTAAATCAGGCAGAAAAAGCAATCATACATGCAGTAGTTTCGTAAAGAACCAATCACCAACAAAAAGCATTGGCTTCCTTGCCCAGAGAAGTAGGCTACTTTATTTCCTAACCTAAAGTAATTAAAGAAAGATTCTTTCAAATCTTACAGTTGGTTGCTCTATTCTAACCAACTGCCTGCTTCACTTTTAAAATATGTCAGGCTTTGACAGTTTTAAAAGCTGACATCATCAGTACTAGCCCTTCATCAGAGTCAAGGGCCTGTACTAAAAATGTCAGCATTTTTGCCTCTTAAATACAATAGAACTGAAGTATATCAAAGTACTTTGGACCTGGTGAAATATGTTTGTTATATTAAATGGGGTTTTGCTATATCAGATCTAACCTGAGAAAATGGCCAACATTCTGCAACACCACCACTGGCTTCCCTTCAAAATAATGTCTGAGGAACTACTGCAGAAATTTCATACTGATGGTGTCTCACTACCTAGATCTTGGTAGTGCTATTCTCAATGATCATTCTGCAAAGCAAACTTGCTTCAACCAATCAAAAGCACTACCCATATCTTGGAAGTAACACATCATCAGTATGAAATTCCTGCAGTCGTTCCTCAGACATCAGGGTGATTTAGCAACAGGATGGGAACGTCATTTGACAACAGGAAAGCGTGCAGAAAGAACTAGCCTTCGTAGCAAGCGTTTCCATGCGGTTTAGGAGCAAAGACTAGGAACGAGAGTCAAAGACCATGCGAAAAATGGCGTGAGTGAAAGAGCAGGGAGGGGGTGGGGAAGAAAGGAAGGAAATGCTTGCAGACAAACCCTGGGATTTTGAAGACCGCCCACTTGGCCTGTCATGCTTGAGTTCGCGCACCGACATTTGATGCTGTCATCAGCTGTCATAATTGACGAATAAAATGTTTGGCTCTCAGTGGAGCGGAAATGAACTTCAGAGGACGCGTATGTGAACCCAAAATATGTATATTTTTTATTTTGTAATTCGTGGATGGCATTTATGTTGAATATCAATGAATCCGAATGATCAATACGGGCTTTGGACATTTGTCTTTTTTAATTCGTCTAACAGAACAGTCTAACAATCACCATCTGAGAGAATTCAACATCCCTCACAAAAAACACTAACAAGCTGGGCCCAGCCTGCCACATTACAGGAAACCATCGCATTCGCGGAGAAAAGAAAATCACTTTTAGTTATTCAGATCCAGGAGGCACTTAGAATAAATTAAACGACCTGAGACCTTTATTTAGTCGCAAGAAGAACCTTAGGTTTCAAAAGAGGTCAAAGAAAATACTCTTGCATTGGAGGGCAATCTTGCCGACCAGAATAAACAACAACCACTGAAAATTAATATACGTGTCACGTACCATACCGTTCTCTCAGTATGAAACACACCTTTGATCGACACATGTCAACATTGTTTGACTAGCTGAGCCAATCAGGTGCTGTGTTGGCTGGCGAATGCAGGTTTTCAAAATTGAGAGGTTTGTCTGCAATCGTTTCCTTCCTTCCCCTCCCCCTCCCCCCACTTTCATTTTTTGGCTCTTGTTTCATTTCTCGTGCGGCCAAAACCAAGAATCCCGTTCCTCGGTCTTTCTTTGCTCCCAAACAAAATGGAAACGCTTGCTATGCAGGCTAAGAAAGAACTAAATATGACTTCTGGCGCTCTATTTGCTGCTCTGCCTTTGGTCAAGTCAGTAGCTTGATTTGCGCATGCCGTCATCAACTGACATTCCCGTTCTGTTGCTAAATCAGCCTATCATTTTGTGGGGAAACTAGTGGTGATATTGCAAAATGTTGGCTGTTTTCTCGGGCCACATCAGATCATACCCTATACTGTACATCTTACTAGAATAAAAATTATTATTGGTGGAAAATATATTGTTCATTACAGCAGGGTCTTTGTTATATAGGGTTTGGTTATATTGAGTTACCACCATATTATATTACGTTAGTGGTATTGAACTGGAGCAAGCCTGCACTAGATGTTAATAAAGTCAAACATATTGACAATTATTTGTGTGAAAAGATTCCCCTTATGAGCCTCAGCTGTGATTTAGTTTCAGTTCATGGCCCAAAGAAGTCTATTTACCTTATTAACTCAATATTCCCCTTTAGGTTGTATGTTTTGTTTTCCTAGTGTAGATCATGTGATGATCTTAGGAAATGTCTTTTTTGTGTGTTCTCATTATTTATGCATATATTTACACATGAATGAGAGAAAATTGAAAGAAATGGTTGTTTACCATTGACCGGCACACGAGCAAACTAGTCAGATCAAGGTTTGGGCAAATGGTAAATACAACTCAGGACAGGTAAATTCTGTACAGGTTAAAGAATTTGCCATTTGCAAAAAATCAGTCCCATTTAGCGAAAAAACATGGCTGCAAAACATTAAAGCTGGTATCAAGGAAACAGAACATAGGTACCAACCAGTAAAATGTATGTGAACAGTTGATAAACTATGTCATGATTCATGTTAACATTTTAGATACTCTGTGGATGTTAATCTTGACAAACAAGTCATTAACAAAGATGTCTTCAGAGATCCAGCCTTGAAGCGAAAAGCCAAAAGGGAAGCTAAAATGAAGCTTGAAGAAAGGTAAATTCCTTGCAGCTTCTATGTACATGTTCTGATTCATTTTTATCCATGGTTGTAATTTTATTTACCTTTTTTTGACATGACAGTGTATTATAGTTAGTTTAAAATGAAACTGAATGGAACACTTTCAATTATTGCATATTTTACTTGTCACGGGAGATTTCATTCAGTTAATGAGTGAAAACTTTGAATTGCCCTTTCGTCATAATTATCTAACATGGTTTCTAAGGGCCTGCTAGAAATAAAGTGAAAACTGTATTTGAAGAACCCAATATTAAGCAAAAACAGGCCCAGAGTTTGATTTAGAGCTCACCAACTCACCTGATGTGAATGTTAAGCTTAAACCTTTAAATAGATTATTACGCTGGCTTGCATGTAGCAAAGAGCTAATCATGGCAAGGCAGACTACACAGATAATTTTGTACATAAATATACATACATGTATAAGATAAATATAAATATAAGATGGGACACCTTTGGGAAGGGAACTAAGTGTCCATCTTTGAGAGATGTCTGTCTTATAGAAAGTCAAATAGAGGGAGTAAAGAAAGGCAGGGACAAACTCTAGGTGTCCGTTTTACAGAGAGGTTTGTCTTATAGAGGTGTACATTAAGTGAAAGGTGGCTGTATCACACGAGGTATCAACTCAAACTGTAAATCCTTTATTCACCTCCCCAACCCCCCCCCCCCCCCTTCCCCTGGACTTATTTATTTCAAACACATTTGAGGGGGAAAGGGGGTTAATAGAGATCGGGGGTTTATTTGAGAGGGGGGGGGGGCTTAATTAATTTAGCGAAGACAATGGTATCAGTTCTCCGTAAAGAACTAGAATGCAAAGTGGAAAAGCTCAACTGCAATAAGTTAGAGGTCATGCAACCGAGGATCAAAAACAAATCTTAACTTCCAACACATGAATAAACCATCCTGGATCAGTCCAAATAAAGGTTTACAGTCATGATTAATTAATACAGTCTATCATTTATTAGTGAAGACTAATGAGGGGGAGGGGAGGGGGGGCTTATCTTAGAGAGGGCTTAATAGAGGATTTATGGTTGTTGCTGGTCACAACTTGGGAACATTGGTTCACTGTTTGCACCCACTTTCGTTATTCACCTACTTGTTAAAATTTAAAACTGTTTTGTATTTATTTTCAGATACAAGTCAGGCAAGAACAAGTGGTTTTTCCAGAAGTTGAGGTTCTAAAAGGCAACCTTGTACAAAATAATAAAGCTTAATTTCAAATGGATCTTTGTTTTCTTTCTTTTTCCAATTCTCTGGCGTAGGTTAACACTTGGTGACTGAAATATAGCACTTTGAATTTTACAGTGCTACCAAAATGTACCATTACCTGCACAACAATAATTTATTAGGTTGTAAAAATTGCAGTTGTAAGTGTTTTTACTTCCTTTTTATTGAAACCCATGTTTCTCTAACTTGTATAGGTAGCGAAATGGTTTTGATTGGAGAATGCTGAAGCTGCGCAAGAGCATGTTTCAGAACCAGGGCAGGCTTTGTTTCTCTGGGTAATTTTTGATGTCCATCGCAGGTTTCTATTCACTACATAAAAAGCTGGGAAGTGTAAAATTGCCTGTGGATACATTATACCTTCCCGGCCCAAATACTGCCCAGCCAGGGCATTTATTTAATTTCTGTTGCCCGGTAGCGGACTTTTAATGGGTAGAAGGCATTTATTAAGCTCAACAAAACGAATATGCTTCCGGTGACCAGAATATCCAGTCCATCCCTTGTTGCATCTTGAGATCCATGTATCGTTTCTTTCAAATCTCAACTTCGATGTCAGAATCCTCGTTCAGAATGTTTTTATCGTAAGCCTATCCCTTCTTAACTTGACATCTAACAAGATACAAAGCACAAACTCTCGATAACCCGGGCAATAAACAACCAAGAAACTGAATAAATTGAATGATTTTGCTCCTTTCTGCTATTTCCAAGTATTCTGGAGTAATTTTTCCTTTTGGTTCATCGCTTCTAACTACTTTGTTGTCTTGTCTGCTCTCATATGTTGATCACACCCGATGTCGGTAAACCAGGAGTTAAACACGTTTGCGAGACGACCTAACCCGTACGCAAAACAACTTAAGACGTAAGCGAACAGGATGTAGGTAAAAAGACTCGCTGGCGAAACGACCGGCGGTCACCCTATTAGACAAGGCGCGTTTTTTTAGAGAGGACCAATACAAAATTAACATCGTAGGGGGCCGTCAATTGGGCAAGAGGCGTTGAGCGGGGCTAGGAGTCAATTAGATCATTTACGGTATAACACTTTGTTTAAGATTTGGAGTAAAAGAGGTTTTTAGTCATTAACACATCACACCGTGCATGTAAATTGCACATCTCCAAGATTTACAGAATGGTTCCGGTCCAGAATGGCCCGCGTAGCAGGTGTTAAAAGGGTGAAGGTACAACAACAAACAACAAGAACAAAATTAGTTAACTACCCTAGTCACACACAACAAAAGCTGATTTCCAAGTAGGGAGTAGGTAAACGCATCACAAAAAGAGAGGCAATATGGTGTTCACTATCGGAATGCAAGTGTTACAAAATTTTAGAGAATGATTAATATTATTGCGTAAAAATTTACACAATACAGCTAATTTTACAACATAAGTAGGTTGGAGTTTTTAGAGAATAATATAAGTTTTAAAATATTTACACATACAAATAATAAATATAATCTTTATTGATTACTAGATAAAAACATGTATCTAATGTTACAAAGTCGATAAGAGGAAAGCTATATAACTTGATAGAGGAAAAACTAGTAAATGGAAGAGAGTAAGACAAAAAAATGTAAATAATGGAAATGGAAAGGAGTTACATTATGAAAACTGAGTCTTTTTACATAAATGTATTCTTAAAAAGCTCCAAATGTTTCTTGGACGCATACAAATAAAGGAATCAGAGCGATCCAGCTGAAGTTGGCTTTTAAATTCGGAAAGCGATCGTGGCGTGCTGTTTTTGCCTCGTAAGAAATATTGTTCCAGAGCATTGCACCACTATACTGAAAACTAGGTTGGAGGAAATTTGGAGGACGCGCGCGCGCGAAGGTTGAAAAGGAGAGGAGGCCCCCTCCCCACTTCGCGTGTTCCCCTCGCGCGTCCTGTATGAAAATAATAACCAGCGCCTGTTACCCAGGCTAAGGCTAGGTTCACACGAAAAGCTATCCGTTATCAGGGGTATGAACACTTATCCGATATTTGACTCTCCGCTTCAGAGATCGTTGCGACGCAGCTTCGCTCCGTTACAGAAATCGCGCCAACAGAAGCCCAATCTGGTATGGTCAGTTCGTTCCAGCACTAAAACGGCTATCCGGTAACATATAACCTAAGTCCAGAAATTTATCCTGTTCAAACTATAGGTAGTGAGATTGTATACCATGTTTCTGACTCAAAGCCCCCAAATCTGTACCCTATTTTGCGGCGCCTATCAGTTTAGGCCAAAAAAGGTAACCATCCATCCTTGGAGGTGGGACATGGGGTGATCAAAGTCGTCAATTTCCCCACAAAACCCGGCGTTTGGGTTTTGTGATATTCATGGCGCATTGCAGTGAGCTCCAGGAACCATTGAAAATCTGGCCTCATGAGTTATAGTATCTG